GAGGTGGGGAGAGGCGGGCGGAGTGGGGAGAGGCAGGCAGAGCAGGGGAGAGGCAGGGCCTGGGGCAGCTTTGGTGGCTTCAGGGCCGGGAGCTGGAGGTGGGGGTGGATAAGCCTGGGATGTCTGGGGGCCAGGTCCAGCCATGGGGACAGGAGCAGGCTGAGGACAAGGACGGAGGGTGCCTTCTGCTCTGGCTGTGTGGCTTCCAGGCAATGAGGTGATGGGAGCTCAGGGAGAGCCTGAGCCAGAGCCACGGACTTGGGAGTCCCCTGCTCAAAAGCAGGAAAAGCAGAGCCCAGATGGGCTCGCCCAGGGTGCTGAGGGTAGAGGCAGGCAGCGATGGGTGGAGGATGGGGAGAAGCTGGCGTTCCCCCTTTGAGGTGCTAGAGCTGGGCTAGAGAGGACAGGAGATGGTCACTGAGCTGGGGTCATTGTCTTAGGAGTGCTGGCCACCACCATCTAGGGAGAGGGTGACTGAGAACACCCTTGCCTTTGGAAAATAGGACCACAGCCAGCAGCGATTCAGGGTCCAGCAGGTGGTGGGGGCGGTGAGTGGAGAGGGGAGGAGAGAAAGAGGTGATGGGGGAGGTGGGCAGGGACCGGGGGAGTATGCTCCTCACCCACGGAGCTGCAGGGGCCTCACTCACAACCTGAGTGCCTGGCCATGATCACCCCAAACAGGTCTCAAAACGTGAGACCAAGGGGGGCACAGGTGGGCTCCGCCAGCCTCTCAGGATGAGGGATGAACCAATGTGAGAGTGGAGACCTGGTCCCTGGAGGAGCACCATGGGGCCAGCGCCACCCTCTGGACCTGGGGCTCAGCTCAGACCCCAGGCCGATGACCCTAGGAGGCCAGGCCTGGCTGGCTGCAGCAGAAGTCATGAAACTGGCCAGGGCCACTGCACCCAGGGTACTTGGTTAGTGAGAGGGAGTGAGTCCCAGCGCCTTTGCAGCTCAGGTGTGTGTTTGTGCTGGCTGAGTCCCGTTTCCATGGACGGGGGCCTGGGCTGCCAGCTGTGCCTGTGGACACGGGGGCAAGAGGGTCAGAGTAAGGAGAAGACTCTGTAGCCACCCTAATTGTCTCTCTGGAGAGGAAGACAAGAGCGAGAGGTTGACTCTGTCTGACCCCCACTGTCCCTTGGGGAGACTACCTAATGAGAGCAAGGAAGCAGCCGCCTGTGTGTGTGCGTGTAATTTCGTGTGTGCACGCATCTGTGTGTGTGTTTGTTGGTCCAGGGCTGGTGAGAGGTGCTCAGCCTCTCTGAGGACCACAAAGCCCGGCCGTAGAAGGCAGGTAGGGTTGGTGCCGGCTTTTCTCTGGGTGCTTGGTGAAATGCACATTCCTAGGCCCCAGACACACTGGATCAGAGTGTCGTAAGCGGAACTGTTAATTTTGAGTGAGCTCCGTAGTTGATTTTCATGTTCATTTAAGTGCAGGGAAAAACCCACAGGCCTATGGTATCTTTGGAAACCTTGGGAACCTCCTTGTTGCAAGCATGCACTTGTGTTGAAGGCTTCATAAGATTAAGGATGGGCCTCCTTCTCTCCTGGCCAGGCTAGAGGGGCCCTTCCAGTCCACAGCCTGCCCTTGCACGGAGACCTCGATGGTGCAGGAAGTTTGAATGAAGAGGAATGGGGGTGTGTGGGGGAGGGGACAGCTGGTCTGCATGACAAGGGAGTGGCTTTGCTGCCTGCCTGCATTTCTCTGCAGGGCCTCTCCTAGTTTTGGGATGGGGGATACTGAGTAAGGGATGGAAAAAGGCCTGGAGCTGGTCTGGGCGCAGCCACTCATACAGCTGTGGGGTTTTGGACTGAATCAGCCATCAGCCACCTGCACTGAACATCAGTTCCCTCCAGGAGCGCTGTGCTGCCCCAGACTGAAAAAGTCAGCATCTCCGGGGAAGGGGTCGGACACGGGTCTTTGGTTCTCAGCCCTTAAATGATGATCCTTTTCAATTGGAGTCTCTGATCCCCCCCACCAGGTGGACAATAGACAGGGGAGAAGGTTCAAGGAGAAGCACCCCTGGCCAAAAGCTTTCGCATTATGCTGATATTATGGGTGCTTTGTCAGCATTTGAGTAACAGATGACATGGCTTTTGATTCGGGACAGGCTGAGGCTATAAAAAGGCCAGCATTTTAAGAGATGCTAAATGATTACCGTAGAGAAAGGAATCAAGGAGAAGGCACAAAAGTCCCCTCAGCCAATGGCCCTGAAATTCTTTATCTCCAGATCAGAAGAAAACACAGAGTTGTCCATTAACAGCAAATGTTTAAAATATAAAGTGCAACCCCACATTGGGGTGGGGGGGTGGTGTTGGGGGAGTTAAAGCAGTTGTGTTTGTAAACTAAAAGGTGAATCCCATTGGCAGATAACTTTTCAGTTTAATGTTCAGCTTTGTAAACCCAAGTTGTTTCCAGCTACTGATACCTGTACAGAAGTAAAATATTGCTAGAGGCAAAATGTAATCAGCTGAGCCAAAAATCCCATTTAATTTACTGCCCTATCTTGCAGTAAGTCATTTACTCACTATCTTGCAGTAAAGTCACTCAACAAGGTGTTGGCTACCTTTAGCTAAGGTGTTTATGTATAGGATCTAAATCAACACGAAACAAAAAATATGATACAACGGAAGATGTGGACTTTGGAGTCTGAAATACCTGAGTTATATCCAGGCTTTGCTCCTAACTGGCTGTGTGAGTTTGGGCAAGTCTGTCTCTCTTCTAAGCCTCGGTTTCTCCGTTTGTGAAGTGGAGATAATACCTGCTTGCCTATTTCACAAACATGTGGAGAAGTTTAAACCTCACGAGTGAACATTTATATCAAGAGTCTCTAGTATGGTACCTGACACATTTTAGGCATTGAATACTTTGCAGTTACGATGAAAATATGGATATATCCTCACTATGTTTGTCACGCAGTTTCATATTACCTATTTCTCAGCAATACAGTGAGGAAAACATCACTTAGCCCATTTCACAGATGCTGAAACTGAGTTGCGATCACTGGGACTTGAGCCCAGGTCCTTCAGCTCCAGGTCCCATGCTCTTTCCATTGCATGCTCTTAAGCAGAGGTGCGCGATGCCATTTTCATCAAGTGCCAGGTCAGTAGGTGGCAGGGCTGACTGTCACTGGCATTCAGGGGGCAGGGTAGCAGAGAATGAAACAACAGGGTTGGAACATCTCTTAGGGAATGAATGGGGACTTCAAATCACAGAAAAGGTGCCCAGTGGATGCTTCATGCCAGCCAGTAGTGAAAATTGCTGCACACCCCCTGCATGTCAGCATTTCTAGAACCTCAGTGCAGTCTGTTCCACTGGGGACCTCTGGTTACAATGCCAGTTCTTCACTGATTGACATGTGACCTGTGAGTGTAACTCTTCATCAGCACTTCATCCAATATGCAGGAACACTACCCCCCAATTAACATCACAGTTTACATATATATATAATTATGCTTTTATTGTAAACACCTTAAGGAATCACCTTTGCAGAACATTTAAAAAATGTCAATTTTTTTTTTTTTTTTTTTTTTTTTTATACAGACTATTACTCTGTCACCCAGGCTTCAGTGCAGTGGCACAATCTTGGCTCACTGCAACGTCAGCCTCCTGGGTTCAAGTGATTCTCCTGCCTCAGCCTCCCAAGTAGCTGGGATTACAGGCATACATCACCGTGCCCAGCTAATTTTCGTATTTTTAGTAGAGATGGGGTTTTACCACGGCGGCCATGCTGGTTTCGAACTCCTGACTTCAGGTGATCCGCCCTCCTCAGCCTCCCAAAGTGCTGGGATTATTACAGGTGTGAGCTACCACGCCTGGAGAAACACCTAATGTAGATGACAGGGTGACGGATGCAGCAAACCACCATGGCACATGTATACCTACATAACAAACCTGTACGATCTGCACATGTACCCCAGAGCTTAAAGTATCATAATAAAAAAGAAGTTTTAAAGAACATCTCCATCTGTGGATAGAAGACTGCAGACACATAGAGACTGCAGACGCCCAACCCTTGCTTTGTGTGGATACATTTAGACAACTGGTGGGCGGCTTTTGGCATTGTAGCACAGAGTTCATTTTAATACATCTGGATGCCACAGAATGCTCTGGAACATGCAGCAAAGTGGTGAGAATGAGTCACAGACATTCTAACCCGTCCAGGAGCTCCCTACCTGTACGGGGCTCAGTCTAAGCCCTGCTATAGAAAGGTGTGCAGAGAGGGCATTTTTAAAATCCTACAAATGAAAAACAGAATTAAAAAAATCTATAAAGGGCACAGGCAAATCAATTCATTAAAAGGAAAAAAAAAGCTAGAACCTCAGTAGAAAAATGGGTCAAAAGCATGCACACATAATTTACACACAAATGGTTTAAAACCCTAGAAAAAATCATAATCTCATTAGTTATCAAACATGTATCTAAGATAGCACTGCATGAAAATAAGGTAGTATTTTTTGCTGATAAAATTTGTGAATGGTTTTTCATTTTTGATGACAATATCAAACACTGATCATACTCTCACCATGAGTATAGATCGTTAGAAAAAACATTTTGGCTGCAGGATATGAGAAGTCTCAAAAATGTTGATATCCTTTGGCCCAATAATTCCATGCCTGGGAATCTATCCTAAGGAATTAATCAGAAGATCAAGAAAAAAAAAGTTTTAAGAACAAAACAAGGGAACCCATCTAAAAGGTCAAAAACAGGAAAATGATAAAGTGTTCAATATACTCATTAATGGCACATTATTCAGGTGTTAAAAGATAGCTTTATGATTTTGAGATAAATGGGGGAAATCCTTACATTGTTAAGTATTTAAAACCTGTGTACATATAAAGAACGTGTCAACTGTGAAATGGTGAGAAATGAGAAGGAAATACATCCAGCTGTTAACAGAAGTCTCTGAGTGATGGGATTATTTCTTTCTCCCTGCTTTTCTTCATTTTCCACTTTTTTTTATTACAAAAAGTATGAATTAAGGAAAAACAACTTGGACTTTGGTTCTGAGAACAAACTTTATCAAATGACTCCGAAGTTATCTGCTTTGCAGAAGTATTTCTGCAGAGTCACCAAATACATTCAAGACTGGAAAAAAAGCACCTCAAAGTCAAATGAGGTGAGTGCCCACAGACACCAAGGAGAAAAGGAACAGGAGATCGATCGGGAAAAGACAGTGAGAAACACTTGCTAGCAGAAAACAAACCCACAAACAGAAGCTATACTGGAATCTTTCCAATCAGTTCCATCTTTCAGGCTCTACAGGCAAAGGAATGGGAGCCAGGCTGACCTCCGATAACGGGGCAGATGCGCAGGCCCCCTTTATTTGCACTGCGTGTGGGACAGGCCACAGAGCTCTCTGAAGCTTCTGCACTTAGAATCACGGGACAGCACGGCATGGGCTGTGTCCTTAGCAAGTCCTTGGTTTTGTCCATCTGCTGTGCACGTCTCCAGTGGACTGAGTGTTACTCAGGTTTGCAGAAAAAATATGAATAAAAACGATCTCTCAGGCTCACAACCATATTGCAGCTTGATCTTGTCTAGAAATCTAAGTCATTTTGGCCAAAGCCATCTGCCCTGCCCACCGCCTCAGTGGGGGCAAGGCTTCCGAGTGCCTGGTCATCTCGTAGGTCACAGCCTTCACTGGCCCCCTGCTCTGGAGTCCTTGGGCCTGAAGGTACCTCTTCTTGCTCAGAAGTGGAACTTTCTGGATACATGCTCATGGTCTTCCTCTCTGCATGGCCATCTCCTAGACTGACCTGAGGGCTCCCTTTTTTCTCACCTTGAGTTTCTCCTTCCGACTTTGGCTGGGCCTCCCCTTCAGCCTCTGGGGCCTCTACGCCTTCTGACTCTGGCTGGGCCTCTTCTTCTGCCTCCTGGGCCTCCCCTTCAGCCTCTGGGGCCTCTACGCCTTCTGATTCTGGCTGGGCCTCCCCTTCAGCCTCTGAGACCTCTACACCTTCTGACTTTGGCTGGGCCTCCCCTTCAGCCTCTAGGGCCTCTACACCTTCTGACTCTGGCTGGGCCTCCTCTTCTGCCTCCTGGGTCTCCCCTTCAGCCTCT